CCGCGATCGCCTTCGTCACCAGCACGTCCCGCTGATCTCGCCTCCGGACGAGGACATAGTCCAGCAGGTGCCACTGGCGCGACCGAGGATGCCTCCAGGTGGCCTTCTCTCGCTCCGGCAGACAGAAAAACGTGTTCGTCAGCATGAGGCGGTGTTCTGCGCAGGTGCGGAGAAGCAGCAGACCATTGTCGTTTGAGCCGCGGAGACCGTGGGGACCCAGCACTCCTCTCCAGGCAGTATGGTCTGTGCCAACGCGGGCGTTGAAGTCGCCAAGGACAATCAACTTGTCCGCCTTCGACACAGTCGCCAAGAGGGCGTACAAGTCCTCGTAGAATTTGTCTCTGACGGCGTCGGGGTTGGTCATCGTCGGAGCGTAGGCGCTGATAATGGTGACGAATTTGCCTCCCCAGAGAGGCAGGCGGAGGCTCATCAGACGATCGTTGATGCCCTGCGGCAAACAGGGCAGTCGTCCCACGATGTCGTTCCGAATGGCGAAGGCGACACCCGTGTCCCGTCGCTCTGCCCTGGGTCGACCGCTCCAGAAGAAGGTGTAGCCAGCACCCACCTCCTCCAGTTGGCCTTGTTCGGAGAAACGGGTCTCGCTGAGTGCGGCGATGTCCACCTTGTAGCGCGCCAGTTCTCGTGCCACTAGCGCCGTCCTCCGTTCCGGTCGGTTGCTCCTCGGATTGTCTAAAAGGGAACGAACATTCCAGGCTGCCAGAGTGAGCGCGCTCACCCTGCCAATCTGGTGACAACGAGTGGGGCGACGGGAAGGAGATGGAGGAGAAGATGACGAAGGAGAAGTATAGGCAGAAGAATAGACGGAGGTAGAGGAAGAAGAGGTAGGATGAGGAGAATGAGTATGGTTGTTGTTGCTATTGGTATTGTTGTTGTTTTGATTTTGATTGTTTCGACCATGTTTAGACGTCTGCGGCCCTGGCTAGCCTGGAGACGGCGTGGTACCCAGCAATGTTTAGGCCACCTTTTCTAGGCCCTTCCCCTCGTGGGGGCTGGCAGTGCCATCCCTGAATAGGGCTGCCATGTGCCGTTGTGGCACGGCCGAACTCCACTATGGGACCACGACTTCGGGTTGTAGTGGAGAGCGACTCGAATTCGCCGTAAGCCGCGGTCTCCGTCGGCGAGGGTGGGCGCGTCAAGGCGATGTCGATATGGAGATCCATCCCGTCACCGGCTGTCAAGCGACGTGGAGAGACGAACCATGTCACGACGGTGCCGACGCAAGGTTCCATCCGACCTTCCATCCAGCGGAATCCGCAAAGCCTGTGCACACGGCACAGCGCACAGGGCCCCCTCACCTGGTTTAGCCCGCCGGTCGAGACGGTTGCCCGGGGTGTGGCCGCTGAGCAGAGCCCAGCTACGTGGAGCCACAGGTGAGAGTTGAGTGCCAGCAAGTGGACGCTAGGCGCAGTCTCACCTGCAAGCAAGTGAGCGACCACCACGACCATTACGTGAACCCACCGCTGACACCCCTACACCCCGCTCAGACTACACACACATACACTCACTCCACCTAGCCGCTTGGCCACTACGTCTGGTCACAACACGTCTGATGCCCGCCCTCACCTACATCGCTTTCTTCCATTTATCCGCCATAACCCAAATTGCGACCGGTCCCTCACGTCACACAATCATATCGAGCTGATTCAAAGAATGCAGGAAGACAGATGATGCAGTAGAACCAAACCATCTGTTATGTACTCTTGTAATTTTGGGTCGTAGAATTAACTATATCCGACGCTCAACTTCCCAGTAATTGCCGCCCTCCACGCCTTAAACGCTTCAGCTGACCGGACAGGGATACTTGGTTGCTAGGATAACTTTGGTATTCGTAGCCGTTTAGCTGATTAACACCTTTGTAACCCCACAACGTAGGCTGCAACGGACGACGATACCGGCCCTTGTGTCCCCTCCCGGCGGCTACGCCTTCCCCGTACGCCGGCAGAAGTCTAGAGCTAGCATTCCCCGCGCAGAGGACTGTTGCAGAGGTACCGAGAAGGCCGGTGGCAAAGGCAAACCTCATGAAGACAGTAACACAAGAGGCAACAACAAACTACCTATTAGCTTAACCGGAGCTACGGACAGCTATTTAGTCAGATTTGGGAACCGAAGCGACAGTTTTCAGCCATGTACAACGTCCCATCATCCATTTTCGACCAAAAGACCACCCGCGAGGACGGTCTTGGGCAGCCCTTGTGAGCTGCCGGCACTAAGTGGTAGCAGGACTTTCCCCCTAGACATCCTAACTTTGCACTTTTGGAGATATAACAATTACCCCCACCGGGGACACGTTCGTCTCCTATTTGCTGATAACACAACCTGCCACGTTACCTTTTCGACAGGTATTGGGGCAGGTGCCTGCTATGCGGTTCCATTGCATACGACATGATTACTGGTAAGCCTTCGACTTATTGCTCCGACACAAATATCCGCGCAGATGCCTTAAACTTATGGAACACCAACCATAAATCGAACCCATGCTCGCTGGAGGGAGTCTTTAGGTATGCTTTGGAAACGTCCAAGCCAGACCGAAAAGGACACCGGCGATTGACTGGCGGTTCTCATCGGATGGTCGATTTCGGTTGCATATAACGCAATGTTTGATCAACCTTTCGGCTGACCTGAATAACGTCACCGGCTCTGGCCCCTCTACCACTCAGTTTCTTTCCTTTGACAACTCCCGCGTCCATCATAAGTGACAACCTACAGCAACGTACGGATTCCTGATCCCATCCGCAAATCGCAAATATCATTTCTTGTAAATCAAGATAACCGACCTTCCCGCGCATGTTTTTGTTTGGCATTGTCATTTTTTACATGCTCGCCAGTTTTCATTATAATAATTATTGTATTATTCTTCTTTTGTGGCCTGCCTTGGTTCTGCTTTGCGGTTTCTCATGAGCGTAATGCTGTCCGTATTACACGAACGGGTAGAGAGCAAACAAACGTTCAATGATTTGCCGTACTGACAACTAAAATCCCAGGAACCTATTTCTTTGGCTTTGTGTCGCTACATGACGCAGCGATATCGGGTTTGGCTTATCAATGTGTAGATCGGCGTTCCCCATGCGCTTTCTTATATAAACTCCAGTACTCAATTTTCAGTTCTGTAGTTTCCTCAGAAATGAACGAGCGATTTTGGAGTAAATCCCTAGGGATAAATCTCTTCAGGTCCGATGCGGAAGTCATATAAGAGCTGGAATCCGCCAACTTCAGGAGAATAACCGCGAGTAGGCAGTCAGTAGCTTACAAATGTCGAATCACTCTCCATACTGACGGCACCAGCCCATGTGATGTA